TCTCTCTGTCTATTTATGTCTGTCTGTCTATCTGCCTGTCTATCTGTCTGCCTGCCTGTCTCTGCTTATCTGTCTTGCTGTTTGCCTGGAGTATATGTATATCGCACTCCTTGAAGAATCGTGTTATGGCATCTGTTATCAGCTCGATGACATTTGATAAATGGGTGCTCAGGGAATCCTGGCTTTGTTTTCACTGATACACACAAACATGTTTCTGTCTATCTATCTATCTATCTACCTATCTATCTTTGCCTGGAATTTTTGGGTTATCCTAGGTGAGAGACGGCCGACTTGTTGAAAAAAAAAAAAAAAAAGTATAATAACTGTACTTATGTGTACATGTAAGACAGAGATATAGATAGACAGAGATACAGACAGACAGATATACAGATAGACAGTGATATAAACAGGCAGATAGGCAGAGATATAGAAGGATAGAGATATAGACACAGAAACAGCCAGAGACAGCCAGCCGGCCAGCCTGCTGAATACATAAGAACATAAGAAAGAAGGAACACTGCAGCAGACCTACTGGCCCATGCAAGGCAGGTACATATCACCCTCACCTCCCCCCCCGGCTTAGACCCATGACTCACCTAGTCAGGTCACATCCATTGAAGGAAGGAGCATGACATCAAACTTAGTAGCACAAGCTAGTCAGGTCCAACTCACACCCACCCACACTCACTCATGTATTTATCTAACCTGTTTTTACTTTCCTCTTAAAATGGGAGTATTAATGCAACATGGCATCAGTGAATCCCTGGTGTTTGCCATGCTATTTGCTCTAGATGGCGCTCAATTGAACTGGTGCTCCCGCAAGGTACTTAGTGCTCCCAGATTTTTTTAATAGTGCGCACACTGAGTGCACAGACCCATTCTTTCATGTCTAGGCGATTCAAGCCTATTGTGCCAAATTTCAAGGAATGAAAAATAAAACATTGATCTACGTTTGGAGCACTAAGCATGCAAACGTAGATCTATCGTTTGGACAGTTTAAGGGTTAAGAGGAAAGTAAAAATAGGTTAGATAAATGCATGAGTGAGTGTGGGTGGGTGTGATTGGACCTGATTAGCTTGTGCTACTAGGTCAGATGCAGTGCTCCTTCTTTCAGTGGATGTCACCTGACTAGGTGGATTATTGGTCTAAGCTGGGGTGGGTGACATGGACTTGCCTTGCATCAGCCAGTAGGCCAGCTGCAGCGTTCTTTCTTTCTTATGTTCTTATGTATTCAGCTGGCTGGCTGGCTTTGGCTGTCTATATCTCTAGTCGTGTATCGTTTATCTACATATAGTCATATCTGTCTATATCACTGTCTATCTGTAGTATCTCTCATCATCTCTCATCTCTCACATGTACTCATAAATACAGTTATTATACATAATGTAAATTACTTAGGATAACCCAAAAATTCCAGGCCAAGTGCTATACAGTGTTTGTAGATATAAGACATAAATAAACATGATGCAAGTAACAGCAGTGTCACTTGCTCAGCAATCTGGGAGCGGCTCATAAACCACAAACCAACAGGTTTACCAGCCGCTCCCTGAGACAGAGACAAGCAGATGGAAAGACAGACACACAGGCAGAAAGACAGACAAGCAGAACTAGACAGACAAACAGAGCTAGACAGACAGATACAGGCAGACAGACAGATAGACTGACACAGACATACACAGACATGTTTGTGTGCAAGAGTAAAAACATATAAAGGCAAGGTTACCCCCTCCAGAAGCACACATTCATCAAATGTCACTGGCTGTCACTTATCTGACCCTTGTCATAACACCATTCTTCAAGGAGTTTCATACTCCAGCATGTCTAAAACACTGCTGGGACCTATAAATATTTTGTATATATTTCTAGACAATAGTCAATGACCAAGGCAGGTGAAAATGTTCACCTGTGAGTGTGATTGTTACTATTTGAGTACTATTTCAGTACATAATATTAGTGTCAGAACAAAGATTGGCTATGAAATCACAAGAACTATTATAAATTGTAATTATCAGAACATAAAAATTATATAAATTAAAATAAAAACGAGAAAAAAAGGTAAATTGGCAACACTTCTACAAGCAGCAGGACTGGATGTTGCCATCAGGTGAGCATCCAGAGCCAACTTTGTAGTCTTATATCTCGGTAAGTACTGGTCCTTAAAAATTTTTTTTTGGTCTTATACCACACAGAAAATTGCCCTCTTTAATTTAAAAACAAAAAACGATTTTTTTATTTTTCAAAACATTTGGAGCACCACGCAGGTGAACGTAGATCTACGTTTGGACAGTTTAAGGGTTAAAGTGCAGGCATTGTACTTCCCATTTCCAGGACTCAAGTCCTCCCAACCGGTTTTCTGAATCCCTTCACAACACACTCAACAGCTTGGCAGGTCTTAAAAACCATCCGTCTCCATTCACTTCTATCAAACACACTCACAGATGCTTGCTGGAAGTCCAAGCCCCTCGCCCACAAAACCTCCCTTACCCCCTCCCTCTAACCTTTTCGAGGACAACCCACACCCCACCAGTCATTCTACTTTATTTTCTTTCTAAATGACCAAACCACCTCAACAACCCTTCTTCAGCCCTCTGACTAATATTTTTAGTAACTCCACCATCCACCTCCTAAATTTCCACAACATCTCCACACATTCTCTGCATAATATTCATACCACCCATTGCCCTTAGACAGTAATATATCCAGTGCCTCTAGCCGCCACCTACGCTGCAGCATTACAAACCCAAGCTTTCCACCCATTATAAGAGTGTTGGATACAGTAGGACCCTACATATAACGCAAGTTAGGCTCAGGCTTAAAAACGTAAAGCGGAAATGCCATAAAGTGGAACACCTTTTTTTCCAATTATAAATGCATATAAATACTAGATAACAAGTTTACACTAACATATAATAAGTTAGCAATAGAACTAGGCATTAAAAAACAATAAAAAAGTAAAAATGTACACATATAGTACACTCATTACTTACCTTAAAATATTTGTAGTCTTAATCTAGGGTGAGATGAGTAGTATTTATTGCAAGAAATCAAGTGTGGTATGTATGGTAGCCAGCCAGGCTACCATACCAGGCCAACCCACCTACACATGATATTCTATAACATTTAAGCATCCCAGAGCGATAAAATGCATATACAGTTCACTCATTACTTACCTTAAAATATTTGTACTCTTAACGTAGGGTCAGAGGTGAGTAAATGAGATAAAACGAGTAAATAAGAGAGAGAGAGAGAATGAGTACATGAGAGAGGACACTCGCGGAGTTTTGTAAACAAACCAGGCCAACGCTAGTTTTGTAAACAAGCCAGGCAAACACGTCTGGTTTGTGTACAAGTTACATTGTGTACAAGTTGTCTCTACGTTGATACGGTAGAATAAGTAAAGAGGAACACTCCCATTCTCACGTAAGACCATTTTTTAGAAGAAATGACGCTTTGAGTGAAGGCACACAAAAGGAATAATTTTCTACAGTTACCCCCAGTAACACATTTTCTCTTATGTTGGACTAAAGAAAACGTTATTCTTGCTGTCACTTGTACAAGTTGTCTGGGTACCACATCTCATACTTTATGTTTATTTATTCTACAGTGGAGTGTATTTATCATCTTTATATGTTATGTATCATGTTTATTATATAATTTTGAAAAAATATCATAGATGGATTAATGAAAGTGCTTATATTAACGTAATATACGACATTTAATGAGACTTTGTAATTATTTTTTTTTATTAACACACTGGCCGATTCCCACCAAGGCAGGGTGGCCCGAAAAAGAAAAAACTTTCACCATCATTCACTCCATCACTGTCTTGCGAGAAGGGTGCTTTACACTACAGTTTTTAAACTGCAACATTAACACCCCTCCTTCAGAGTGCAGGCACTGTACTTCCCATCTCCAGAACTCAAGTCTGGCCTGCCGGTTTCCCTGAATCCCTTCATAAATGTTGCTTTGCTCACACTCCAACAGCACGTCAAGTATTAAAAACCATTTGTCTCCATTCACTCCTATCAAACACGCTCACGCATGCCCGCTGGAAGTCCAAGCCCCTCGCACACAAAACCTCCTTTACCCCCTCCCTCCAACCTTTCCTAGGCCGACCCCTACCCCGCCTTCCTTCCACTACAGACTGATACACTCTTGAAGTCATTCTGTTTCGCTCCATCTCTACATGTCCGAACCAGCTCAACAACCCTTCCTCAGCCCTCTGGGTGTGAAGCATGGGTGATGAATGTTGCAACGAGGAGGAGGCTGGAGGCAGTGGAGATGTCATATCTGAGGGCAATGTGTGGTGTGAATATAATGCAGAGAATTCATAGTTTGGAAATTAGGAGGTGTGGGATTACCAAAACTATTATCCAGAGGACTGAGGAGGGGTTGTTGAGGTCATTCAGACATGTAGAGAGAGTGGAACAAAACAGAATGACTTCAAAAGTGTATAAATCTGTAGTGGAGGGTAGGCGGGGTAGGGGTCAGCCTAGGAAGGGTTAGAGGGAGGGGTAAAGGGGGTTTTGTGTGTGAGAGGCTTGGATTTCCAGCAAGCATGCGTGAGCATATTTGATAGGCGTGAATGGAGACAAATGGTTTTTAATACTTGACGTGCTGTTGGAGTGTGAGCAAAGTAACATTTATGAAGGGATTCAGGGGAACCAGCAGGCTGGACTTGAGTCCTGGAGATGGGAAGTACAGTGTCTGCACTCTGAAGGACGGGTGTTAATGTTGCAGTTTTATAACTGTAGTGTAAAGAACCCCTCTGGCAAGACAGTGATGGAGTGAATGATGATGAAAGTTTTTCTTTTTCGGGCCACCCTGCCTTGGTGGGAATTGGCCAATGTGCTAATAAAAATAAAAATAAAAAAACACCAGCTATCTCCCATTCAGGTAGGGGTGACCCCATCCCCCCCCAAAAAAAAAAACAAAAGAAAAAAAGATGCCTAAGAGGCACTATTAACCAAAAATATAATAATAAATTAAAAATAGCTCACATGCTTATATCTAGAAGAGACTGCCACACAGTGCTTCTCCTCCAGAAATGCAATGTCAGACACCCAAACAGGGACCCGCAGCTGAAGCATATCTGGTTTCACCTGCACAAAATACATAATAAAAATTAATCTACTTTCTATATGATATTGTGTATACAAAGGAGGTTATGTAAATGGATGTCAATATAAACTATATTTTTTTTTTTCAAAACATTGGTCATCTCCCACTGAGGCAGGGTGACCCAAAAAAGAAACACTCACCATCATTCAACACTTTCACCACCATTCTCATATAATCACCGGCTTTGCAGAGGTGCTCAAATATGCCAGTTCAGACGTCACTCCAAACAGCAGATACAGCCTCTCCTCACTTACCAACGTACTCATTTACTGACAACTCGGAGTTATGATAGGCTCTCTGATGAGTCAATATTGCATGCCATACGAGAACTTGGGCCACGGGAATGGGCAGCACAGAGTCTCAGTGTTAAGCATCCCAATCTCCTCCTTACAGCCACTCAGTACACTAGCTTTTAAAGTCTCCAAGACTACATATTTGTACAAATATGTACTTGATTGTGCACCCCATGTACAAGATAGAAGTGCAGCAGCACTTGGAAGAGTTAAATGGAAAACGTACAATAGAAGTTCATTGTAAATGGGTTAGTGATGGGTCTCAGTATCAAGCAATCTCCAAGACTACATATTTTGTCTATAAATTTGTACTTGATTGTGCACCCCATAGTACAAGATAAAAGTCCAGTAGCACTTGGAAGAGGAGAGATAGGAAAATGGAAGAAGCACAACAAAGGGGTTAGCTGGTGTATTCGTCTGTGTTTACATACTCAGTCTCTCGTGGCAGCTTAATTATAAAATGATTACTCAGTGAAAAAGATATATCGATGGTGATAATACCAATAATATATTTTATTATAATTAATCACTCTGGGGTACTTTCAATGTCATACATATTTCATATATTTCTTGTAGTTGACATTTAAAGCAACCCAGAGCGATTATTCTTATTCTTATTATTATTCTTCTTTCTTTCTTTCAACACACTGGCCGTATCCCACCGACGCAGTGGTCCAAAAAGAAAAACAAAAGTTTCTCTTTTTAAATTTAGTAATTTATACAGAAGGGATTACTAGCCCCTTGCTCCCGGCATTTTAGTTGCCTCTTACAACATGCATGGCTTACGGAGGAAGAATTCTGTTCCACTTCCCCATGCAGATAAGAGGAAATAAACAAAAACTAGAAAGAAAATAGAAGAAAACCCAGAGGGGTGTGTATATATATATGCTTGTACATGTACGTGTAGTGTGACCTAAGTGTAAGTAGAAGAAGCAAGACGTACCTGAAATCTTGCATGTTTAAGAGACAGAAAAAAGGCACCAGCGATCCTACCATCATGTAAAACAATTACAGGATTCCGTTTTACACTCACTTGGCAGGACGGTAGTACCTCCCTGGGCGATTGCTGTCTACCAACCTACTACCTACATTATTATTATTTTTATTTATTATTATTAATTATTATTATTATTATTATTATTATTATATTATTATTACATTCTGTGTCTCTCATGGTAGCTTAAATGATTAAACTCTATGAACAAGGTATGTGGTTGGTAATAATAATAATCGCTCTGGAGTGATTTAAATGTCAGCTACCAAATCTGTACAAAATATATATGACATTTAACCCTTTCGGGGTTTCCGACGTACTAGTATGGCTTACGTGCCAGGGTTTTTGACATACTAGTACGCATAAATTCTAGCGTCCTCAAATCTAGCAAGAGAAAGCTGGTAGGCCTACATATGAAAGAATGGGTCTATGTGGTCAGTGTGCACAGTATAAAAAAATCCTGCAGCACACAGTGCATAATGAGAAAAAAAAACTTTGACCGTGTTTTTGGTTTAAAACAGTGACTTTGCACTGTATTTTCGTATGGTATTTATGGTTGTATTCTAGTTTTCCTGGTCTTACTTTATAGAATGATTTTGATTGGTTTCACAATGAAAAGTAACTTGAAATTGAGCTCAAAGTAGCAGAAATGTTCGATTTTTGCTAAAGTTCAAAAGTAAACAAATCATGCCACATGTCCAATACACGTCAACTGGTGAATCTATTAATATCCTTTCACAAGTGCGCTGATATTATTTATACCATTTCTACACTAATACAGTAGTCTGCATAACAGTAGTAAATCTTCTAATTTTTGTGAGAATAAAAATTCAAAGTGGAAAGCAAAAGAAATGTAAGAGGGGCGTGGAGATGTGACTAATGAACAGAGGAAATGTTGTTTTAGTGCCAGGAATGTCTTTCTTGTTTATTCTGGACCCTATTCGGAAATTGGCATCTTTTGAAATTTGTGTGAAATTGGCAAAATTGCTAAATTCTGACCACTTTATTGAATAGTTGAAATCGGTAAATGGGTGGTTCCTTGTACTCATTGATAGAAAAAACGGAGTTCTAGCGAAATATTTATGATTTTTGTCAACTAGAACACTGGAATTGGCCGAAAATAGGGCTCAAATTGGGCAAAATCGCCGATGCGTAAACATCGTCGAGACCGCTAACTTAGAGAGAGCATAATTCCGTAAGTTTTCCATCAAATTTCATACTTCTGGTGTCATTATGACCGGGAAAAGATTCTCTATCTTTTCATAAAAAATAATTTTTTTTTTTTTAAATTTTGGCGACCCTGAGAACAAGTCTCTGAGAGGGCCTGGCGACCCTCAAAGGGTTAAATCATTCCAGAGCGATTATTTATTATTTTTATGATTATATTATTATTATTTGTAGTATTTATTATTATTATTAGGGTCATGGAAACAGGCAGCGAGGCATCTGAGCATCAAGTACTGTATCTCAGTCTGCTTCCTACAGCCACTGAGTATACTAGCTTTCATTGTTTCCAAGACTACATATTTGTACAAATTTGCACTTTATTGTGCATCCCATAGTACAAGATGTCAGAGAAAAGGAAGATCTTTACTTCACCTCAAGGAAGCATCAAGAAACAAAGGAAGGCTCTCAATCTTGAGGTGAAAATGAAAATTATAAACGAGTATGAAGCTGGTAAGAAAGTGTAAGTGATAGCTGATGACTTAAAGCTGGTGCGTTCTACCATTCCCACTATCTTGAAGGATATAGATAGAGTGAAAGAAACAGTGAAAGCATCGACAGGCTTTCAAGCCATAATAACTAGGTAGCAGAAGCATGATAAAGACCCCCATATTAATAAAAACATATATGGAGAGATAATGGAGGGTGTGCCGGGCTATACGAGAGAGAGGGAGAGGGCGTCAGCAATGTCTCTCAGTAACTCATGCTTCACCATGATGTACAAATGTGTAAGCTCACGGCACTATAAAAAATTATATAATTATACTATTACTATCAATAAAGGCTATATACCTATCATATTTATTCCAGAATAATATTAGGTATAACATAAATAATGTAGAAGCATGATAAAGATGCCCAGATTAATAATAACTGACATTATATAGAGAGGTATTGAAGGGTGAAGGGCCGGGAGGGATATATAAAAAAAAAAAAAAAAAAAAAAAAAAAAAGATTGCAACCATAACAGAAAACGTTATGTGCCTGAAGGGTAACTATAGAAAATCACTCTTACCCTATGCAAAGACTGAAAAAAAAAAAATTCCCAAGCAATCAGTAAGTCACTGACCTATTTCATGTAGTATTACCATTAATAATAAACAGATTGAAAGGAATTTCCCAGCAAACATAAAACTGAATGTTTTAATTCTGGGTGGTGACATCTCTGAAGTGTCAGTAAGGGGTGATTCCTCGATTAGCAAGGATATCGTTTACCGACGGGGTCTTAGGCCCCTAACTCCATCGTTAAGTGAGGAGAGGCTGTATCCCAAACCCCTCCTTCAAGGTGCAGGCATTGTACTTCCCACCTCCAAGAATTCAAGTCTGAGTAACAGGTTTCCCTGAATCCCTTCACAAAACATTACCCTGTTCACATTCCTCCAACAGCTCATCAGGTCCCAAAAACCATTCGTTTCCATTCACTCCTAACACCCTCACACTATATATAAAGCAATCAAAGAACTTACTACATATATAATACCAATAATAATAATTTTTTTAAACGCACTGGCCATCTCCCACCGAGGCAGCATGGCCCAAAAAAGAACAAACACTTTCATAATCTTTTTTATTTTACATTTAGCAATTTATACCTGAGAAGGGATTACTAGCCCATTGATCCCAGCATTTTAGTAGCCTCTTATGACATACATGGCTTACTGAGGAAAGATTCTCCTCTATGTACTTCCCCATGGAAAAAAAAAAAAAAAAAAAAAAAAAAAAATAATAATAATAATAATAATAATAATGGGCTAGTAACCCCTTCTCCTGTATATATTACTAAATTTGAAAGGAGAAACTTTTGTTTTTCCTTTTGGGCCACCCCACCTCGGTGGGATACGGCTGGTACGTTGAAATAATAATAATAATAATAATAATAATAATAATAATAACCTAGGTAGTAGGTTGGTAGACAGCAGCCACCCAGGGAGGAACTACCATCCTGCCAAGTGAGTGTAAAACGGAAGCCTGTACAGTGGACCCTCAACCAGCGATGGCATCGATTAACGATAAATCTGACTAGCGATACATTTTAACACAAAAATTTTGCCTTGGCTAGCGCTTAAAAACCCGACCAGCGCTATTCGTTCCGTACGAGACGCGTCCACTTTGGCCTGAGCGCGCCTCACTTGTCCCGTGGGTGCCATTGTTTACAAGCCAGCCACCGCGGTCGCTTGCAAACATACAACTGGAACATTTCATATTATCACAGCCTTTGAAGTGATTACACCTGCAAAGTAAGTCACCATGGGCCCCAAGAAAGCTTCTAGTGCCAACCCTACAGCAAAAAGGGTGAGAATTACTATGGAGATGAAGAAAGAGATCATTGCTAAGTATGAAAGTGGAGTGCGTGTCTCTGAGCTGGTCAGGTTGTATAATAAACCCCTATCAACCATCGCTACTATTGTGGGCAAGAAAACGGCAATCAAGGAAGCTGTTCTTGCCAAAGGTGCAACTATGTTTTCGAAACTGAGATCACAAGAGGTAGAAGATGTTGAGAGACTCTTATTGGTGTGGATAAACGAGAAGCAGATAGCAGGAGATAGCATCTCTCGAGCGATCATATGTGAAAAGGCTAGGAAGTTGCATGACGATTTAATTAAAAAAATGCCAGCAACTAGTGATGTGAGTGAATTTAAGGCCAGCAAAGGTTGGTTTGAGAGATTTAAGAAGCGTAGTGGCATTTATAGTGTGATAAGGCATGGTGAGGCTGCCAGTTCGGACCACAAAGCGGCTGAAAAATATGTGCAGGAATTCAAGGAGTACATAGACAGTGAAGGACTGAAACCTGAACAAGTGTTTAATTGTGATGAAACAGGCCTATTTTGGAAGAAAATGCCAAGCAGGACCTACATTACTCAGGAGGAAAAGGCACTCCCAGGACATAAGCCTATGAAAGACAGGCTTACTCTGTTGATGTGTGCCAATGCTAGTGGTGATTGCAAAGTGAAGCCTTTATTGGTGTATCACTCTGAAACTTCCAGAGTGTTCAGGAAAAACAATGTCCTCAAGGCTAATTTGTGTGTGCTGTGGAGGGCAAACAGTAAGGCATGGGTCACTAGGGACTTTTTCTATGACTGGTTACACCATGCATTTGCCCCCAATGTGAAAAATTACCTAACTGAAAAGAAATTAGACCTTAAGTGCCTCCTGGTATTAGACAATGCTCCTGGTCATCCTTCAGACTTGGCAGAGCGACTTTCTAGGGACATGAGCTTCATTAAGGTGGAGTTTTTGCCTCCTAATACCACTCCTCTCCTGCAGCCCATGGACCAGCAGGTCATTTCCAACTTCAAGAAACTGTACACAAAAGCTATGTTTGAAAGGTGCTTTGTAGTGACCTCAGAAACTCAACTGACTCGAAGAGAGTTTTGGAAAGATCATTTTACCATCCTCAATTGTGTAAACATTATAGGTAAGGCTTGGGAGGAAGTGACTAAGAGGACCTTGAAGTCTGCTTGGAAAGAACTGTGGCCAGAATGTGTAGACAAAAGGGATTTTGAAGGGTTTGAGGCTAACCCTGAGAATCCTATGCCAGTTGAGGAATCCATTGTGGCATTGGGGAAGTCCTTGGGGTTGGAGGTTAGTGGGGAGGATGTGGAAGAGCTGGTGGAGGAGGACAATGATGAACTAACCACTGATGAGCTGCTAGATCATCTTGAACAGCAAGAGGGCAGACCTGAGGAAACTGCTTCAGAGGAGGGGAGAGAGAAACTGAAGAAGTTGTCTACTTCTAAGATTAAGGAAATGTGTGCAAAGTGGCTTGAAGTGCAAACCTTTTTTGATGAAAATCGCCCTGACACAGCTATTGCAAGCCGTGTTGCCAACCTGTACACTGACAATGTTGTGAACCACTTTAGGAAAGTCATAAAGGAACGAGAGGTACATGTATCTATGGACAGATATGTTGTGCAACAGAAGTCCAGTGACTCTGAAGCTGGTCCTAGTGGCATTAAAAGAACAAGGGAAGTAACCCCAGAAAAAGACTTGCTACCTCAAGTGCTAATTGAAGGGGATTCCCCTTCTAAACACTAAGATCAACAGTCTCCCCTCCTCCCATCCCATCAATCATCACCAGATCTTCAATAAAGGTAAGTGTCATGTAACTGTGCATGTCTTTTTCAGTTTGTGTGTATTAAAATTAATATTTCATGTGGTAAAAATTTTTTTTTCAATACTTTGGGGTGTCTTGCACGGATTAATTTGATTTCCATTATTTCTTATGGGGAAAATTAACTTGACTAACGATTATTTCGATTAACGATGAGCTCTCAGGAACGGATTAACATCGCTGGTTGAGGGTCCACTGTAATTGTTTTACACGATGGTAGGATTGCTGGTGTCTTTTTTTTCTGTCTCATACACATGCAAGATTTCAGGTACGTCTTACTACTTCTACTTACACTTAGGTCACACTACACATACATGTACAAGCATATATATACACACCCCTCTGGGTTTTCTTCTATTTTCTTCCTAGTTCTTGTTCTTGTTTATTTCCTCTTACCTCCATGGGAAAGTGGAACAGAATTCTTCCTCCGTAAGCCATGCGTGTTGTAAGAGGCGACTAAAATGCCAGGAGCAAGGGGCTAGTAACCCCTTCTCCTGTATATATTACTAAATGTGAAAGGAGAAACTTTTGTTTTTCCTTTTGGGCCACCCCGCCTCGGTGGGATACGGCCGGTGTGTTGAAAGAAAGAATAATAATAAATGTGTTTCTCAAAGAATGAAAAGGCACAATACACAAATAATCCACACATAAGAAACTGAAACTTATGACGACGTTTCAATCTGGGTTATTTGTGTAAAGTACAAAAAAAAAATAATTATAATAAAGCTAGTAAATTTATTTGAACTTTAGTTGTCTGAATATGCTAAAGGTGGTGTAGCAGTAATGTTGAATGAACAATTCTGGAAGGACAGCAGGCAAAAATGTTGAAATGAGAGAAGGGGTAGTTTAGTAGTGTAATGCAAAATGTGAGAACAGAGTTTTAGTTAATGTTTCTGCATGTGAAAGTGAGAGGAGTGTAGAGAAGTGTGCTTTGAGAAATGTTAAGGGAAAGTTTAAAGACTTTTGTACCACATGAATAGTACAGTGGTCCTAAGAACTATGACAATTACCTGGTAGTATTTCATTAAAGTGATTTTTACGATATAATTTTAAAAACTTTATCCCACAAATTTTATGGGAAAAATTGGTTCTCCAACAATATGAATAAAAATCAAACCTTCACAGTAAGTGTCCTAAAAAATCATTACTGTGTTTGCATAGACACTGATGCAATCTTTACGTTATCAAATTTTTTGAAAAGTTTTGCAAAATAGTAGCAAATTCATAGTGCATACAAAATAATTATAGTTGATAGACACTGTGATCTGGACGAAACGTTTTCCACACAGTACTCATCAGTCACATACAAAGGAGAATGTATAGACTGATGAAGCCACTGTGTGGCGAAACGTTTCCTCAAAAAAGATACCCAAGAGTTGCACATGTGTCTAATTTACCAACGTGTCGGTTCTCTGAACCATTCATCTACAATCATTATGCTGATGGTGGCTTTAAGTTTTCGTTCCCTTTTTTCATCAAACCAGGCATAATTTTTAAGAAGTTTTGGTTTTGCTTGGTGCAGAGAATTAATATGAAGAGTATTTCAGAGCATATATGCTGAGAGTTTAACTTAATCCCAATTTTAGGGATTATTCTTGTCTGGTGGTGAAACGGTTACGAGTGCCTTAACCCTCTGTTTCAGTCGTATATATACGTCTACGAGCCACTGTCTTTGACGTATTAATACGCATAAATTCTAGCGGCTTCAAATCAAGCAGGAGAAAGCTGGTAGGCCTACATGTGAGAGAATGGGTCTGCGTGGTGGATGTGCGCCCTGTGAAAAAATAGAGGACTCAGTGGTGCATTGTGGGAACGCCATCTTTGTAGTCCATTTTCACCATGCCTCGCGGTAAGAAGTGCCTCACTCCTCGGCAGATTGGAGGCCTTTTGTTCCCAAGTGATAGCCCTAACAGCGATGGAAGTGCCAGTGAAAGTGAATTTCATGGTTCTGGAGAGGGTGTAACCGAAAGCAGTGCCCAGGATAACGTAATTAGTGATGAAAATCTAGATGACCCACAACCTTCCACCTCTGGTGCTGGGCCGTCTCATTCACGTTCACCCATACCAGGACGAAAGAGGAAACTATTTGCCCATGTACAAGACTCAGATGTGAGCAGTGAAAGTGATAGTGATAGTGATTTCAAAGCTACTGAAAGCAGTTCTAGGTGCAACAATGAGGGTGAATATTCTCCAGTGAAACGGCAGTATATACGACGCAGCATGCGTTCTGGTAGTGTGCCATATGCTCTTCCAAGGGTGAGGAGTAAATCTTGGAGTGCATCCCATGGCCCTACACCACGAACTGATAGTGAAGATGATGATATTGTTACAATGGGGATGAATGATGTGCGTGGGGCAGCAGGTGGTGGTGGTGGTGGTGGTGGCAGTGGCGACGAGAGTCATGTGGCACCAGCAGCGAGCCATGCTAAAAAACCCTGAAAGGGTTAATACATCAAAAACACTGGCTCGTAAGACATATATATACGACACCAACAGTCAAACAGTTAAGCAAGCAACTTAAACAGCCTGATCTCAATGTATATGTGGAAAAATATGCACATATGCACTGACTTGGTGAGCAAGTGAATCCAAGTGAATGGTCCCAAATCTGCACACAGAAACCACTCCCTACGAAAGTAAAAGACTGGGCAGGCAATGCAAAATGCCCCCAATTAAAAGTAGGGGTGCCATTGGTACACCAAGAGAAAACACCATAAGTGTCCGGGGCCCAAGACTGTTCAACAGCCTCCCATCAAGCATTAGGGGAATTGCCAATAAACCTCTGGCTGCCTTCAAGAGAGAGCTGGACAGATACCTAAAGTCAGTGCCAGATCAGCCGGGCTGTGGCTCGTATGTTGGACTGCGTGTGGCCAGCAGTAACAGCCTAGTTGATCAGGCCCTGATCCATCGGGAGGCCTGGTCATGGACCGGGTCGCGGGGGCGCTGATCCCGGAATGACCTCCAGGTATATGGGAGGAGATTGTAGAGGCAAATTCCATTCATGAACTGAAGTGTAAACATAACAAAACCCACTGGATTCAGGAGCTAAAACTCAGTCAACACAAACACACTGAGATGAACAAACAGAAGCTTGAGTTTGGTAACAGAACAGGTGAATAAGAGACCACATACATTTTTGGCTTGAAATATAGGTTCTGCTGGATGCTCCAAATCCCACACCTGAAGCTCATTTTCCTTTCCTCCGGTAGCTATCATATTTGGTGATGCTGGGTCCTGCCTCATACGCGTCAAGAATTCTCCACTTGTTAGCGCATTTATCTCAACTGGGCTTTCCCCACGCCAGAGTGTCACTTGACCTGACTTGACAGCAGTTATGGTAACGCTGAAAAGTAAACACGAACTAATTTTATATGTCTGGATGTATATGTGTATGTATACATTTTATTATAGCAACAGTGTAGTTCCACTGCATTTTGTGTAGTAAGCCCATATAAGACTGGATCTAGCTCTGCTGGAATAAAACTTTAAAAGCTACCGCAGCTATTGAACACACAGCGAAGTGCTTGACACTATTATAGTCTAGAGCAACGTTTACACTCACAGATTTCTTTGCCTTATGAAATATGAAACAGTATAGACACACTAGAATGACTGATTGATTATATATAAGAACAGGATGTGAGTGTGAGGGGGGGTGTGAGGCATTAGGCAGACTGAAGGGGGAAAAAGCAGCTGGAACTGATGGGATCATGACAGAAATGTTAAAACCAGGGGAGGATATAGTTTTGGAGTGGTTGGTGCTTTTGTTCAATAAATGTATGAAAGAGGGGAAGGTACCTAGGGATTGGCAGAGAGCATGTTCAGTTCCTTTATATAAAGGGAACAGGGACAAAAGAGACTGTAAAAATTATAGGGAAAACAGTTTATTCCTTTATATGAAGGGAAGGGGGACAAGAGAGATTGTAAAAATTATAGGGAAAGAAGTTTACTGGGTATACCAGGTAACGTGTATAGTAGGATTATTATTGAAAGAATTAGAGGTACAACAGAGAACAGGATTGAAGATGAGCAAGGAGGCTTTCGAATGGGTAGGGGATGTGTAGATCAAGTGTTTACATTGAAGCATGTATGTGAACAGTATTTAGATAAAGGTAGGGAAGTTTTCATTGCAATTGTGGATTTAGAAAAGGTATATGATAGAGCGGATAGGGGAGCAATGTGGCAAATGTTGCAAGTATATAGAATAGGTAGTAAATTATTAAATGCTGCCAAGAATTTTTATGAGGATAGTGAGGCTCAGGTGAGGGTGTGTAGGAGAGGGGGAGATTACTTCCCAGTACAAGTAGGCCTTAGACAGGGATGTGTAATGTCACAATGGTTGTTGAACATACGTGTATTTACAGATGGGGTGGAAGAAGAAGTAAATGCTAGGGTGTTGGGGAGAGGGGTGGGATTAAATTATGGGGAATCGAATACAAGTTGGGAAATGGCCAGTGTGTTATAAAAATATATATACAGCCTCTCCTAAGAGTACATCAGTAAATGAATTCGTCACTAAGTAAGAAGCATACTATAATAGTAGTGGGTATGTGTCAACCATCTTTGATATTATTTTAATTTCACCTTTGCACCATTTGTAACATTTCTGGTATAATTTTAAATGTTTATACAGTAGTGTACTGTATATTGTAATAAACAAAATAGAAGAAATCAGCTCTAACATACATTATTTAGGTATGCATACTGGTCAGAGAGCCCGTCATAAGCCTGAGTCATCAGTAAATGAGTACATTGGTGAGAAGAGGCTGTGTATATGTATGTATGTATACATACTATTCTTAAAACAATTAGCAAGACAGAAAAATAGTTAAAACTTTTTCCTGGCAGACTGGCACAATACCTGAATAAGACACAAGAGGAGATATTATAATAAGTGCTTCCAATGGAAAAAAAAATCCTGAGATAAGAGTGATTTCACAGGAATCATGTTACTGTGATTAAATAAAGGTGAAGAAACAAAAAGCATAAACACTTCACACAGCTTTAAAAAATTACTATATGGTGGGCTAGTAGATGTACAGTATTGCAGAGCTTCTCTGTACCTTTGCTCTTAAGGTAATTAGGCCTACTTACCCATCATATCTTGCTAGAGACACAATAGGTCCCTCGCCTACACTAATTTTACGGAGAGATACAAATGCCTTCACCGTTGTATCAAAAGTTCGTATAGTTTGATTTCGTAGGCCCATCAAAATCTGAAAAAAAAAATTGAAAAAACTGAATCATGTTATTAAACTCATGAACAAAGAAGTGTAGTCAGCACCTGAGACACCAAAATATAACAAAGGGATCATATACAATTTTTCAGTGAACAACTGAAAACTAAGTGAAATATTTGATATGACGCATAACTGAGAAAAATAACAAAGTCAATTTTTTCGGAAAAACTGATAAAATAATGAAATTTGATATCGTACCAGCGTTAACTGTAGAATAAGTACAAGACAGTCAATTTTAGCAGGAAAAAAAGTGCGCTGTCGGCGTCGAGAAAACGTAATGGAAATTATCTGAGGCCCGAAAAACGCGCGGACGCCGACTCGCGACGGCGGACGGCGGCGGCGGCGGCGGCGGCGGCGGCGGCGGCAACAACAACAACAACAACTACTACTACTACTACTATACTACTACTACTACTACTACTAGAGGAAGTGCTAAATAAAATCTGAGCCAAAATTCAGCATCACCAATGAGGCTAGAGGTACACTGTCTTGAAAACCGAAGGCCAATGATGGTGGAAGGCAACATTATTTAAATCTTATAACATTTTCACTGAATATTCAGCTGTAACAATGGTAAATACCTGCCATAAAAATATCTTCATATTACAGTGGACAGGCAATTTCTCTGAAAAACAAAATCAAACAAGGCATGACAAAAAAAAAAAAAAATGATGCAGGACTTACAATTAAAGTATTGGTGTGTGAATTTTCCACTCTGAACCAATTCTACTATAATCAAGCAAAAACACATGATAAAAGATATTAAAGTGTCAGATGAATCCAGACTAAAGAAAAAAGGCTGAAAAATTATCAGAGATGGAAAGACTGTTGTTACTATGGATAAGTGAGCAGCAGATTAAGGGCAGTACAATGCCTCCAAGTTATATTTGTTAGTGTGCAAGTCCAAAGTACAGTAAAAGTTGCACTTCTAGGGTCTTGGAATGAATTACGTACCATAAAATCATTATTATCCAGAGGGCTGAGGAGGGATTGTTGAGGTGGTTCGGACATGTAGAGAGAATGGAACAAAACAGAATGACTTCAAGAGTGTATAAATCTGTTGTGGAGGGAAGGCGGGGTAGGGGTCGGCCTAGGGAGGGTTGGAGGGAGGGGGTAAAAGAGGTTATGTGTGCAAGGGGCTTGGACTTCCAGCAAGCGTGCATGAGCGTATCTGATAGGAGTGAATGGAGACAAGTGGTTTTTAATACAGTGGACCCCCGGTTAACGATATTTTTTCATTCTAGAAGTATGTTCAGGTGCCAGTACTGACCGAATTTGTTCCCATAAGGAATATTGTGAAGTAGATTAGTCCATTTCAGACCCCCAAACATACACGTACAAACGCACTTACATAAATACACTTACCTAATTGGTCGCATTGGGAGATGATCGTTAAGCGGGGGTCCACTGTACTTGACATGCTGTTGGAGTGTGAGCAAAGTAACACTTACAAAGAGATTCAGGGAAACTGGTAGGCTGGACTTGAGTCCTGGAGATGGGAAGTACAGTGTCTACACTCTGAAGGAGAGGTGTTAATGTTGCAGTTTTATAACTGTAGTGTAAAGCACCCCTCTGGCAAGACAGTGATGGAGTGAATGATGATGAAAGTTTTTCTTTTTCGGGCCACCCTGCCTTGGTGGGAATCGGCCGATGTGTTAATAAAAAAAAAAAATTGAAAAAAAGCTGAAGGGGTCGGAGAGTTTCAGTGGAGAGAAGTAAATGGGATTAGGTCAGGGGATTCAAATAGAGTTAGAGCTAAAGAAGGAGTAGCAATAATGTTGAAGGATAAGCTATGGCAGGAATAGAGGGACTATAAATGTATTAATTCAAAGATTAAGTGGAGTAAAATAAAGGTTGGATGTGAAAAGTGGGTTATAGTAAGCATATATGCACCTGGAGAAGAGAGAAGTGTAGAGGAGAGAGAGAGAGAGAGGTTTTGGGAATTGTCGAGCGAGTGTGTGGGGAGTTTTGAACCAAGTGTGAGAGTACGTGTGGTTGGGGATTTCAATGCCAAAGTGGGTAAAAATGTTGTGGAGGGAGTAGAATGTAAATTTGGGGTGCCAGGGGTAAATGAAAATGGTGAGCCTTTAATTGAGCTATGTGTAGAAAGAGGTTTGGTAATAAGTAATACATATTTTATGAAAAAGAGGATAAATAAATATATAAGGTATGATATAGCATGTAATGAAAGTAGTTTGTTAGATTATATATTGGTGGATAAAAGGTTGATGAGTAGGCTTCAAGATGTACATGTTTAAAGAGGGGCAACTGATATATCAGATCATTATTTAGTTGTAGCTACAATTAGAGTAAGAGGTAGATAGGACAAAAGAAAAATGGCAACAACAAGTAAGAGAGAGGTGAAAGTGTATAAACTAAGGGAGGAAGAAGTTCAGATGAGATATAAGCAACTATTGGCAGAAAGGTGGGCTAGTGCAAGTATGAGTAGGGGGGGGGGGGGGGTTGAAGAGGGTTGGAATAGTTTTAAAAATGCAGTATTAGAATGTGGGGCAGAAGTTTGTGGTATAGGAGGGTGGGTGCAGGAGGAAAGAGGAGTGATTGGTGGAATGATGAGGTAAAGGGTGTGATAAGAGAGAAAAAGGTAGCTTATGAGAGGATTTTACAAAGCAGAAGTGTTATAAGAAGAGCAGAGCATATGGAGAGTAAAAGAAAGGTGAAGACAGTGGTGAGAGAGTGTAAAAGGAGAGCAGATGATAGAGTGGGAGAGGCACTGTCAAGAAATTTTAATGAAAATAAGAAAAATTTTTGGAGTGAGATAAACAAGTTAAGAAAGCCTAGGGAACGAATGGTTTTGTCAGTTAAAAACAGAGTAGAGGAGTTAGATGTGGAGATGGAGGTTTTGGGAAGATGGCAGGAATATTTTGAGGAACTTTTAAATGTCGACGAAGAAAGAGAGGCGGTAATTTCATAAACTAGCCAAAGAGGTATACCATCATTTAGGAGTGAAGAAGAGCAGGACGTGAGTGTCGGGGAGGTGCGTGTGGAATTACGTAGAATGAAAGGGGGTAAAGCAGCTGGAACTGATGGGATAATGACAGAAATGTTAAAAGCAGAGGGGATATTGTGTTGGAGTGGTTGGTATATTTGTTTAATAAATGTATGAAAGAGGGGAAGGTACCTAGGGATGGGCAGAGAGCATGTATAATTCCTTTATATAAAGGGAAGGGGGACAAAAGAGATAGTAAAAATTATAAAGGAATAAGTTTACCGAGTATACCAGGAAAAGTGTATGGTAGGGTTATTACTGAAGAATTAGAGACAAGACAGAATGCAGGATTGCGGATGAGCAAGGAGGCTTCAGAGTGGGTAGGGGATGTGTAGTCCAAGTGTTTACATTGAAGCATATATGTGAACAGTATTTAGATAAAGGTAGGGAAGTTTTCATTGCATTTATAGATTTAGAAAAGGCATATGATAAGAGTGGATAGGTGAGCAATGTGGCAGATGTTGTCAAGTATATGGAATAGGTAGTAAGTTACTAAATGCTGTAAAGAGTTATGAGGATAGTGAGGCTCAGGTTAGGGTGTGTAGAAGAGAGGGAGACTACTTCCCGGTAAAGGTGGGTCTTAGACAGGGATGTGTAATGTCACCATGGTTGTTTAATATATTTATAGATGGGGTTGTAAAAGAAGTAAATGCTAAGGTGTTGGGGAGAGGGGTGGGGTTAAATTATGGGGAATCAAATACAAAATGGGAATTGACACTGCTACTTTTTGCTGATGATACTGTGCTTATGGGAGATTCAAAGAAAAGTTGCAAAGGTTAGTGGACAAGTTTGGGAGTGTGTGTAAAGGTAGAAAGTTGAAAGTGAACATAGAAAAGAGTAAGGTGATGAAGGTATCAGATGATTTAGATAAAGAAAAATTGGATATCAAATTGGAGAGGAGGAGTATGGAAGAAGTGAATGTTTTTCAGATATTTGGGAGTTGATGTGTCAGCGGATGGATGTATGAAGGATGAGGTTAACCATAGAATTGATGAAGGAAAAAAGGTGAGTGGCGCATTGAGGTATATGTGGAGACAAAAAACATTATCTATGGAGGCAAAGAAGGGAATGCATGAAAGTACAGTGGACCCTCGACTAACGCTATTAATCCGTTCCTGAGAGCTCATCGTTAGTCAAGTTAATTTTCCCCATAAGAAATAATGGAAATCAAATTAATCCGTGCAAGACACCCAAAAGTATTGAAAAAAACAAATTTTAACACATGAAATATTAATTTTAATACACACAAACTGAAGACATGCACAGTTACATGACACTTACCTTTATTGAAGATCTGGTGATGATTGATGGGATGGGAAGAGGGGAGTGTGTTGATGGTCTTAGTGTTTAAAAGGGGAATCCCCTTCCATTAGGACTTGAGGTGGCAAGTCCTTTTTCGGGGTTACTTCCTTTCTTTTAATGCCACTAGGACCAGCTTGAGAGTCACTGGACCTCTGTCGCACAACATATCTGCCCATAGAGGCCTGTACCTCCCGTTCCTTTATGACATTCCTAACGTGTTTCACAACATTGTCAGTGTCATCATTAAACACTTGTTCAGGTTTCAGTCCTTCACTGTCTATGTACTCCTTGAATTCCTGCACATATTTTTCAGCTGCTTTTTGGTCCAAACTGGCAGCCTCACCATGCCTTATCACACTATGTATGCCACTACGATTCTTAAATCTCTCAAACCAACCTTTGCTGGCCTTAAATTCACTCACATCACCACTAGTTGCTGGCATTTTTCTAATTAAATCGTCATGCAACTTCCTAGCCTTTTCACATATGATCGCTTGAGAGATGCTATCTCCTGCTATCTGTTTTTCGTTTATCCATACCAATAACAGTCTCTCAACATCTTCTATCACTTGCGATCTCAGTTTCGAAAACATAGTTGCACCTTTGGCAAGAACAGCTTTCTTGATTGCCGTTTTCTTGGCCACAATAGTAGCGATGGTTGATTGGGGTTTTGTGTACAGCCTGGCCAGCTCGGAGACATGCACTCCACTTTCATACTTAGCAATGATCTCTTTCTTCATATCCATAGTAAATCTCACCCTTTTTGCTGTAGGGTTGACTTATTTTGCAGGTGCAATCACTAAAAAGGCTGTGATAATATGAAATGTTCCGATTGTATGCTTGGAAGTGACCGCGGTGGCTGGCTGGCTTGTAAACACTGGCCAGAAGTGGACGCATCTCAGACGGAAGGAATAGTGTTGGTCGAGTTTTTTAGCGCTAATCGAGGCAAAATTTTTGCGATAAAATGTATCGCTAGTTAGATTTATCGTTAATCGATGCCATCGCTGGCCGAGGGTCCACTGTAAAGTGGTACCAACACTCTTATATGGGTGTGAAGCTTGGGTTGTAAATGCTGTAGCGAGGAGGCGGTTGGAGGCGGTGGAGATGTCCTGTCTAAGGGCAATGTGTGGTGTAAATAATGCAGAGAATTCGAAGTGTGGAAATTGGGAGAGGGCTGATGAGGGGTTGCTGAGGTGGTTTGGTCATTTAGAGAGAATGGATCAAAGTAGAATGACATGAAGAGCGTATAAATCTGTAGGGGAAGGAAGACGGGGTAGGGGTCATCCTCGAAAAGGTTGGAGGGAGAAGGTAAAGGAGGTTTTGTGAGCGAGGGGCTTGGACTTCCAGCAACCATGCATGAGCGTGTTAGGAGTGAATGGAGACGAATGGTATTTGGGACCTGACGAGCTGTTGGAGGGTGAGCGGGGTAATATTTAGTGAAGGGATTCAGGGAAACCGGTTATTTTTATATAGCCGGACTTGAGTACTGGAAATGGGAAGTACAATGCCTGCACTTTAAAGGAGGGGTTTGGGATATTGGCAGCTTGGAGGGATATGTTATATATCTTTATATATGCTTCTAAACTGTTGTATCTGGGCACCTCTGCAAAAACAGTGATTATGTATGAGTGAGGTGAAAGTGTTGAATGATGATGAAAGTATTTTCTTTTTGGGGATTTTCTTTCTTTTTGGGTCACCCTGCCTAGGTGGAAGATGGCCGACTTGTTGAAAAAAAAAGAATTTTTTTCTGGTTTGAGTTATGATAGTTCTAAGGTACACTTTATCTTCTGGAACTGATTAATTGCACAACTCAAGGGACCACTGTACTTTGAGTAAAAGATGACATATTTCAATTAATAGTAACAGCCTGTTATTAAGTGTTATAAATGAATAATTCTCCAGCCAAAATATAATTAATTAAACACTTCGTCAGACGAGGCAATCACATTCTATGCCATGTTTATGTTTATTTTTCATTATTACTACATTTGCTAAGTTGTCTATGGCAGCTTTTTATTTATTTTTTTTAGAGGAGAGTACTTCATATATTAGTAAATCTATGAATGCATACCAAAAACTGTTTAAACTTGTGGTGGATAAAGGTAGAGTATTTAATTTTATATGTCATTACTATGCATACATTATGCATCATATTTTAAATATAGAATACTTGTACTTTAACCCTTTGAGGGTCTGTCCCATAGTTCTACAGCTTTGAAACCAGAGTCCAAGCCGTAGTACTACATCATGACCTCAGCACACTCATAAGCTGTTAGTGGTAAATATAGGCCTAGATATGAGAGAATGTATTTATGTGGTAAGTGTGCACCATATAAAACAAATCCTGCAGCAAGCAGTGCATAGCGAGAAAAACAAAACTGTAACTGTGTTTTTGGATTAAATTGCGACTATGGTGTATTTTCATGTGGTTTTTACAGAAACAGAGATTATTTTGATTGGTTTTAGTACTCAAAATAGCTTGAAACTGAGCTCAAAGTAGCAGAAATGTTCAAAATTTGCCGATATTCAAAAGTAAACAAATTGTCTTGTGTGTCCAATACATGTCAACTGGTGGATCTAATATGCATTCACAAATGTGCTGGTATTCTTCTTTCTTTCAACAAACCAGCCGTATCCCACCAAGGCAGGGTGGCCCAAAAAGAAAAACAAAAGTTTCTCTTTTTAAATTTAGTAATTTATACAGGAGAAGGGGTCACTAGCCCCTTGCTCCCGGCATTTTAGTCGCCTCTTACAACATGCATGGCTTACGGAGGAAGAATTCTGTTCCACTTCCCCATGGAGATAAGAGGAAATAAACAAGAACAAGAACTAGAAAGTAAATTAGACAAATTACCAATTTCCAATCACTTTAATGGGTAGTGGAAATAGTTTACTGGGTAATTTCTTGTGCTCAATAGATAAAACAGAACACATACTAGTGAAATAGCTAAGAATTTGGTGTAATGGAATAATGTAATTGGCCGAAATAGGACTCAAATTGGGCAAAATCGCCGATGCATAAATATCACTGACACAGCAAAATTCACAAATGTAATTTCATTAAATTTTAATAAAATTTCGTAATTTTTGTTTTATTACCTTCAGAAAGAGATTCTCTACCATTTCATAAGAAAAAATAATAATTTTTTTTTAAATTCTTGGACCCTGTGGGGAATTTTCAGACTGGGGGACTGGACCCTCAAATTATTATTATTATTATTATAATCAAGGGGGAAGGGCTAAACCCGGAGGATTATACAGCGCCTTGGGGGGGGGATGTGGAAGGCATTCAGGCTTAATTTGGGGAACTGGAGCACAGATCCAATTCCCTAAATCAAGAGCCCCTCACCAACATCAAGGAACCTTCCTTGAGGGGCTGGACCCTCAAAGAGTTAACTGCAAATTCTATACTATTTTCAAGTGATACATTACACTTGAGTAGAATTACTATATATTTTAGCAAAACTAATCTAGTCACTCACCTCTGTTTGATCCTCGTTTCCCCATGCCATGGATGTGATCTCTTGGTCACGTTCTAAAGCCTTAATTTTATGGAAATTCTTGTGAATAACAGCATTCTGATTTAGATTGACACCTGTGTAAAATATTGAGCACATTACTTATACTCATTAGTACCAAACATAATATAGCCTCTCCTCACTTAATGACAGAGTTCTGTTCCTAAGACCACGTCATTAAACAAATTCGTTGCTAAGTGAGGAGCATACTATAATGGTAGTGGGATTGTGTCAACCATCTTTGACATTGTTTAATGTCACCTTTGCACCATTTATAACATTTCTAGTATATTTTTAAATGTTTATACAGTAGTGTATTGTACATTGAAATAAACAGAATAGAGGAAATCAGCTTTAATATACATTATTTAGGTATAAATACTGGTCAGAGAGCCTATCATAAGTCTGATGCATCAGTAAACAAGTGCATCGATAAGTGAGGAGAGGCTGTAATGTAAACTGGAATGGCACATTTATACGTGAGTTACTATAGGCATATTATAGTTAGTGATATGTGGGGTTACCACAGTGGCTTTGGTGTAGAAGTCAGTATTTTTAGTACAGTAAAGCATACCTGTGTCTGCAGCAGGATGCACCTGGCTTATCAAGGTTCCTCAACCAAAGAATTTAACCTTCCCAAAATTTAATGCACAACATTTGTCTAACAGCCACATATTGACACTAGTATGTATACACACATGGCATAACCTCCAATACTAAGCCTGTAGTTGTTGGAATGCCACAGAGAAGTGTCTTAGGTTCTCTACTCTTTCTTATTTGCATCAATGACCTCCCAAATGCACTGCGACTCCTTTTAAACCAGTTCTATTCGCAGATGACACCACTTATGTCTCCTCCCACTCAAACCCGGCTATATTTAGTAACACTGTAAACAGCGAGCTACATAAAATATCAAACAGGATGATGACCAATAAACTTCCTCTCAATATAGACAAAACCTACTTCATGCTTTTTGGAAACTGAGCATTAAATATCCAGCTACACATATCGATAAATGGTTCACCCATCACAAGGCACACTGAGGACAAATTTCTAGGTCTCCATCTTAACAGCATATAACTAAGAATGTTTCCAAAACAGTAGGTATCCTTTCCCAGATACGACAGTAATTTCAGTAAAATATGAAGGAATATTCTATGTCAGGTTAAATAATAGTGACAAATGTAGTAAAAAGCAAAGCAAATGATAAGATTAAAGTTCCTCTAGTTAGGCGTGATGTCTACATTAAAATGACTTGGTAGATGGGAAATTGTGCCAACTGCAATACAGTTCAGATTTCTTGCAAGCTCTCTTGTTTGGAGTATTGTTCAGTGATGATGGCTCCATTCAGGGTGGGTAGTTATCAAGGCTGGAACAAATGCAGAGATCATTTACAGCCCACATGGAGTCAATAAACCACTTATACTACTGAGAATACCTCAGAGTTCTAAATATGTGGTCACTGGAGTAGAGGAGAGATAGACACATGATAGTGTGTGTGTGGAAAGTACTTGAGGACTTAGTTTAACATGTTTATTATGCACCCTATGAGGACCCCATCCTAAATTTGCACACTGCCATAACAACATACTAGAGTGGGAGATGTAGGAGGGAGGGAGTTGTAAATAAGCCTAGTGAAAGACAGGGGCACTGTGGGCACAACAACACTATCAATATCTATGGTCCCAGATTGTTTAGCATCTTACTAGAAGCTATCAGAAACACCAAGTGTCAGGTCAACCAGGCTGTGATGGATATAAGAGCCAGCAGGCTGCTAGCAAGAACAGCCTGGTTGGGCAAGCAAGCACCAGAGAAGCCAGGCAAAGAGCCAGGTTCTGGTAGAGGAAAAAAATCGAAACTCATCAAAGGTATATACCTGCACAAGAAAAAACCCTATATCTATCTCCTATACAACACCATGTAGACTATTTTTTGTTCTTCATAATACTGAGAACATCTATATAGACCAGGATGAATTTCAAAAAGCTGGAAATGCTTCAAGTGGCAGACAGCATAAATTGGTTAAAAATAAACCACATACAGTATACAATATTGCTAACAACCAGTATCCTAGGTTAAATTTTACATGATTATTCAAAATCGAAGTTCAATTGTTATATTGTGTATGGCACAAATACGCTAATTCATATAATTAATGACTTAAAAACTTACCTTTCAATATTCCTGTCTCTGTGCCAATATAGGCATTAAAATCTTTTTCGACCTCTTCCATTTTTGTAATTCTTCCAGCAAGACCCACGTTGTTGTTGCTGTTGGGTTGAAAAGTTGAGACGACCACAGGACCGTATGAACCAACCAGACCAAAGGTGTTATTAAGGCTGCACGGTAACCTGTGCACCAGATGCTCATCCTGTGAGCGCTAGGACAAAAAAAAAAAATAAAGCAGGCTTACAGAGGTCATAATAGGTCTTTATCAGATTCCACCAGGGATAATTACATCTTTAAAAATATTACAACCATATCTACCGTACTATCTACAACTATATCTACCGTAGTTCATAAACTCACATTTGTTGAAATAATTAAGGTGCTATTAGATGCTTAAGTGTATAACTGAATTATCTGTTCTGTAATAGTCCATTTTTTTCTTTCAATTTTTTACAAGTTTTAGAATAATTACAGAGTCTTATTCATAAGTCTAGGTGCTATTGACTACCTCAGGTGCAACTGATTTTGCTTTTAATACATTCATTTATTATTATATTCACTAGCTCCTTTATTCTAGCTGTAAATATCTACCGTAGTTTACAAACTCACATTTGTTAAAATAATTAAGGTGCTATTAGATGCTTAATTGTATAACTGAATTACCTGGAGAGAGTTCCGGGGGTCAACGCCCCCGCGGCCCGGTCTGTGACCAGGCTTCCTGGTAGATCAGAGCCTGATCAACCAGGCTGTTACTGCTGGCTGCACGCAATCCAACGTACGAGCCACAGCCCGGCTGGTCAGGTACCGACTTTAGGTGTTTGTCCAGTGCCTGCTTGAAGACAGCCAGGGGTCTATTGGTAATCCCCCTTATGTATGCTGGGAGGCAGTTGAACAGTCTTGGGCCCCTGACACTTATTGTGTTGTCTCTTAACGTGCTAGTGACACCCCTGCTTTTCATTGGGGGGATGTTGCATCGTCTGCCGAGTCTTTTGCTTTCGTTGTGAGTGATTTTCGTGGGCAAGTTCGGTACTAGTCTCTCTAGGATTTTCCAGGTGTATATAATCATGTATCTCTCCCGCCTGCGTTCCAGGGAATACAGGTTCAGGAACCTCAAGCACGCCCAGTAATTGAGGTGTTTTATCTCCGTTATGCGCGCCGTGAAGGTTCTCTGTACATTTTCTAGGTCAGCAATTTCACCTGCCTTGAAAGGTGCTGTTAGTGTGCAGCAATATTCCAGCCTAGATAGAACAAGCGACCTGAAGAGTGTCATGGGCTTGGCATCCCTAGTTTTGAAGGTTCTCATTGTCCATCCTGTCATTTTTCTAGCAGATGCGATTGATACAATGTTATGGTCCTTGAAGGTGAGATCCTCCGACGTGATCACTCCCAGGTCTTTGACGTTGGTTTTTCGCTCTATTTTGTGGAAGGAATTTGTTTTGTACTCTGATGAAGTTTTAATTTCCTCATGTTTACCATATCAGAATAATTGAAATTTCTCATCGTTGAACTTCATATTTTCTGCAGCCCACTGAAAGATTTGGTTGATGTCCGCCTGGAGCCTTGCAGTGTCTGCAATGGAAGACACTGTCATGCAGATTCGGGTGTCATCTGCAAAGGAAGACACGGTGCTGTGGCTGACATCCTTGTCTATGTCAGAAACGAGGATGAGAAACAAGATGGGAGCGAGTACTGTGCCTTGTGGAACAGAGCTTTTCACCGTAGCCGCCTCAGACTTTACTCTGTTGACTACTACTCTTTGTGTTCTGTTTGTGAGGAAATTATAGATCCATCTACCAACTTTTCCTAATATTCTTTTAGCACGCATTTTGTGCGCTATTACGCCATGGTCACACTTGTCGAAGGCTTTTGCAAAGTCTGTGTATATTACATCTGCATTCTTTTTGTCTTCTCGTACATCTAGGACTTTATCGTAGTGATATACTTCATCTCAACTATAAATTTGATTACTGTAAACCATTAGCTACCTCACTGTTGCAATAAGGAAAACAATGTATAATTAAAATTTACCACTCATTATGTCTAGTATTAAGTAGTCTGTAAGCATTAGGATTAGTCTGTCCGAAATGCCCCTCATGCCAGTGGCTTTCTTTGTACCCATCAACAAGTTTTATATGTATTCACACATTGTAACCTACGCAAAGATATAAAATTGTTTATTTTTATTGTTTATATAATTCTGGATTCTCAAACAAGTTTTTAAAAAAAGTATGTAGGAAAGAACTAGTAAACGAGTTTGAGGAAAGTAGAACAGTGCAAACAGGAACGAATATATTCTATGTTAATGGTATATAATATCGCCAACCTGATGAATAAGACACGTGTAACACTTAGCTTATTGGAGAAACGTTTTGCCTGAGCAGCAGGCTTCTTCAGTCGAATAGAGGTGTCTCTTAAACCTCAAACAGTGAAAGGAGTGTGTCGCCTGAAAGGGTAGTTCATTATGCACCTCTTGATCATCCTGTGAGTACAAACTAAAAAAAAGCAGGAATACAAAGGAAATGCCTAGCCATGCTAGGTGTTCTAGTGGTACACTCTGTAATTATTTTACTACATGTAAACCACACAATAACCAAATTCTGTAAACTCAGCATTGTAATCCTTATAGAGAATAAACTTTGAATTTGAATTTGAATTTGAATGGGTTTTTATTAGGCTACACTGCGTAATTAGTCATCCAATAACATATTAGCTCATCGTCCCGCTCTCCTAGTTTCTAGGCCAGGAAAAAGCCGGGTGTTGTCTCGGTTGATAAAATTGGGGAGGAAGAGAGCATGGGCATCTTGTAAGTTTATTCAGACACAGGTACACATAAATACAGTTACATATATTATCAGACTTAGTAGCATGTGTAGATTACCTACGATAACCCAAGAAAGTCAGGCAAAGTGACATTTCCATTGGGGTCCTTGCTTTGCTGCGGTCTAGGCAAAGGGATACACCCGACCTAATTGAGAACAATTGCCACTGTTTCTGTGTCCAAAGGGAAGATAGCGAGAGTAAAATCGTGTTTCACAATTCCCGCCCCGATTTGGGTAATATATTCTTAACAGACCCCGCGAAGCAGGGTTCAGGATAATTTGTTGTAGTCACCCTCAAAACTCTCTACACTAACAATAACAACGTTGTTAGGGTATTGTATTGCTTGGGTTAGCTATGTAATGAAATTGTAATACTGAGCATGAAATAACTGTGGAGAGAAATTGTATACAATACAGACATAAATACGGTGTAATGTGAACCTTTATTGACGTTTCCCTCACGTAGTGCTTTTTTTTTTTAAGTGAATTTGAAAATGCTCATTTGCGTGGGCGAAAAGTTGTCGATAAAATATCTCATTACCCTGCATTTCTCTTTCTGTTTCCATGAAACGACTGTAATAACCTTAAAGATGTATCTATAGGCATATTTTATGCGCTAAACCCGTATGGTCATACAGCACACTCCAGTTAATAATATACAATAACAATATCTTTATTTACTACAAGTATAAGTACATGGTATCCAGTCCTAGCTGACGTCAGTGACATACTACTATATAGAAAGCAGTTTATGCTGAGCATTTCGGGCAGATTACGTCAGTTTTCTCCCAGGATGCGACCCACACCAGTCAACTAACACCCAAGTACCCATTTTATTTATGGGTGAACAGGGATAACAGGTGTCTTATGGCAACATGTCCCTAATGCTTTCCAGCCGTACCAGAGGAGATTCGAACTCCGGACCTCAGCATGTGAGCTGAGTGCATTAGCAATCAAGCTACGGGTCACCTATACACCTGGTATGAGCTGCTGGCGTGTAATAAACTAGCCATTCAGATGCCACATTCCTTAATGCTGTTGAGGGGCTCTTTATCCAAGGAATTGGATTTACCATCTCCTTCCTTGGATGTAAGCTGCTTGCTTCCCATTGCTCAGACATATGCCCCCAACAGGCTTAGGGCATCCCTAAATAATCAACTAAGGAATTGGATCTATTCTTGCTTTCTTTGGAGCAGATTATTATCTCCCATTCCCCAGGTGGTATATGACCCTATTGAGTTATTATCCCGACTATGGGATAATAACTCAATAAAGTCATTGTGGCTGCTTTTCCCTTGGGGTCCTTTTTTTTTTAAGTCCTTTTCTAGGATGTGACCTACAACAATTTTCTAACTCTCAGGTATTTATTCAATACTAGGTAATAGGGGCAATAGCTCGTAGATTTTCCTCTGTCTCGCCTTGCTGTATGACCCTTGTATGTTTAGCTCTTCATTTTTTATTATAATAGTATGTCTTACCTCACTGAGGGGCTTGACCTCTTGTGTACCCCTCAAGGAAGGTTCCTTGATGTTGGTGAGGGGCTCTTGATTTAGGAAATTGGATCTGTGCTCCAGTTCCCCGAATTAAGCCTGAATGCCTTCCACATCCCCCCCAGGCGCTGTATAATCCTCCGGGTTTAGCGCTTCCCCTTGATTATAATAATAATAATTGACCTCTTGTGGCTCATGGCTTTGTAGAGGCATCAGCTCACACACTAGGACTAGTTCAGTCCCCAGATGAGTGGGAATGTTGGGCATGTTTCCTTATACATGTACCTGCTGCCCATGTTCACCTAGTGGCAAGTAGGTCCTATAAATGGGTGTTAGGCAACTGGTGTGGCTTGCATCCTGGGGAAGAGGACTGAAGGACTCCAATGGAAATAAGCCACACACTGGTGACATGCCTTTACTGGGTTATCCTTAGTTACTAACTGTCCAGGTTAATCCGAATAAAATCTGTTCTATTGTGGATGAGATGAGCTCGCCAATCTCTGCATACTCCAGTAATGAGTCAGAACATAATGTGGATTTCAGATTTAATGGACAAATCTGTGGCTGGACATTACAGCCTCTCCTCACTTAACAATGGAGTTCCATTCCTAAGACACATCGTTAAACGAATTAGTCGCTAAGTGAGGAGCATACTATAATGGTGATGAGTTTGTGTCAACCATCTTTGATATTGTTTTAGTGTCACCTTTGCACCATGTATAACATTTCTGGTATATTTTTAAATGTTTATGCAGTAGTGTACTGTATATTGAAATAAACAGAATATAGGAAATCAGCTCTGATATACATGATTTAGGTATGAATACTGGTCAGAAAGCCCATCGTAAGTCTGAGGCATCGGTAAACGAGTATGTCGTTAAGTGAAGAGAGGGTGTATTTGGAATCAATGGTCAAAGTTCCCTAAACCCAGAATTGTCCACCATTTTTACATTTCCCTTGGATAAATTCATTTTGGATTTAACATACATACATACATTAAGTTAGCACAGAAAAATATTCTCATAATTCTGATTTAATGGACAACAGGCATTTGTCCATTAAACTTGGGTTTCAGTATTGTGTACATATTGCTTTATTCAGGTTAAATTTACATGCTTTACAAATTTTTTAAATTTGCTCAAGGATTGCAGTGGGCACAATAATATAAGCATACATTAATTGGAAGGTGAGTACACATACATGTACACAGTTGTCCATGTTCACCCATTAGTAAAATTGGTACCTGGGTGTTAGTTGACTGGTGTAGGTCACATCCCGGGACAAAACTGACCAAATTTGCTCGAAATGCTCTGCATAACAAGCAGCTTTTTATATAGTAGCATGTCATTGATGTCAGCTAGGACTGTATACCTTGCACATGTACTTGTAGAAATAAAGATATTATTATTTTAATGCACTTTTCTTCATACTTGGTAATCCTGCCTTATGAATACTCCACTTTAGGCAATTGTTATGGTTTATTATACTGTATTCTGTTTAACCCAAACAATCAAACACTGTGGTATGATTATTCAGGTATACCCTTCAAGGGAGAGGGTTGTTGATCCAAGGAATTCAAATTACCCTTTCCTTCCTTGGATCAAACCTGATGACCACCAATTTTTCCATATGGGTTTAGTACTTCCTTATATAGGCACATACATTGTTTTTATGGACAGCTAATAACAACACATTATTATACATGTATTTACAAGAGAGAGCTAACCTACAAAGGTGACAGTAGATGGATATAATACCTAGGACAGGGGCCGGCAACCTTTTGGAGAGAGAGGGCCAGACAGCTATCCAGTCTCTCAGAGGAGGGCCATGTTATTAAATGTAATATAAAAAAAAATTCTCGAACTCAGGGTTGCCATTAGTTTTTTAAACCAATTTTGGCCTAATTCTAACAATACTTAACACAATTTATCACAAATAATTAAATAAATATTATTATCGAATGCAGATACCTACTGCACAGTTGTTTTACCACCAGACAACAAACTCAAATGAAAAACTCTAAGGAGGGAGGATACGAAGTAACTTTTCCAGGAACTGCTTAACCTTGAAGTGAACTACTTCATCTGTATTTGATACTAATTAGATAATTAGTGTCCAGGTGTTAAGTTGGCGGGCTGGACAAAAACCTCACACAGGCCGGGGTTGCCGACCCCTGACCTAGGAGTTAGTTGGCTTTGTGGGTTGCATCCTAGGAAAGAGGGCTAAAGGACAACTTTGAAAATAATCCACACTGCTTGACTTTCTTGGGTTATTAGCCCTCTATGACTGACAATCCAAATCCTTGCCATCATCTTCAGCTGAGATACAGTAGTACAGTGGACCCCCGGTTAACGATATTTTTTCATTCCAGAAGTATGTTCAGGTGCTAGTACTGACCGAATTTGTTCCCATAAGGAATATTGTGAAGTAGATTAGTCCATTTCAGACCCCCAAACATACACGTACAAACGCACTTACATAAATACACTTACATAATTGGTCGCATTGGGAGGTGATCGTTATGCGGGGGTCCACTGTAATGGAAAGTTTACAGGGATGTTAGTTTCAGTTTACAGTATGGTAATGAGTCAGTTCATGCACTTAATAAATTCAGTCACATGAACATTACAATAAATCATACACAGTGATGAAGTCTGTCATTGCTATTATTAAACCTGGAAACCTAAGAAAGCCAACCAGTATGGCTCAGTAAATATTAAAAATACTGAGGCCTGAATAATTTATAACCGGACTTGATAGCAGTCCATGATGGACAAAAATTTTGTCTGAAGTTTCCTCTTCAAATTGTGAGTGGGTTAGTGAGGGTCTTAAGGTCCTCTTCCCAGGATGTAACCCACAGATTTGCTAACATGTAAGTACAGCACCTGTCTACTGCTAGGTGAACAGTGGCAGTAGGCACAGGTTAACTTGCTCATATATTTTGACTTGCCTGGGATTGAACCTGTGTCCTTATGGTCGTAAACCAAACATGCTAATATACATGCTATGTTTATTAAACAAATTATAGGTATGTGTCTGCCTGAATTATAAAATTATGGTACAGCGAATGATAAAAATTTTGATAAGATGGATTGACTGGTATCTATCTTGTTAAGTTAACATTATAACCATATCTCTCACTGGTTTTGAGAGATCTACTCCTGAAGACTGGCCTGAAGCTAGACTTCATTGTTGACTGCCTGGTCAACCAGGCTTATGCTATTAGTATCCCCCAGGCCCACATAACCATCACACCCTGATTGATTTAGCACTCACTGAAAGTGATCCAGTTTCCTCTTGAAAACCTCAGCGTTTGTTCCAGTAATATTATCCTCAGACTACTAGTGTAGTGGATAGTTAAAGTTATACAAAATTTATTCCCTCTTTGGGAGCGTTTTTTGACATATGCTTTTAAGGTAAGATTATAAATAAATTTATGAAACCATTCAAAGGAGTTTCCTTGACACCATTGAAGGACTTTTGATCAAGGAATTGATCAAGGAATTGAACCTGACTCCCTGCTTCGGGTCAAACCTGATTGCCTCCCATTCCCTCGGGCACAATATGATCCCTACAGGTTTGCATTTTTTCATGAATGCAATAATATCATAGTATTTCCTCTTCAGCCTGAGAGAACAACACCCAAAATGCCCATTTAATAAAACCTAATATATTACAGTAAAAGACTCAACACTGACAATGTCTGAAGGTGAAGATTCTCCTGTGACAGTGGGAGGCGGAGGAGTTAGTGAGCGTCAATGGTATGTCTCAAATTTGGAGAGCACTGTGTCGGGTGGAGACACCCCGACAGATTCTCCTGGAAGTCCAGCAAATACAACAAATATTCATACCAGCAATGAATACATGGAGTTGGATGAGCCAGAGATGTTGGATGAGAAAAAAGCACTTTTGGAAGAATTTGAACGCAAACGTCGAGCTCGAATGATTCATGTAACAACAGATGATAGTGAGGTGAGTGGTGTTTTATATGAGTAAAGTGTACATGAGGCTAATTTTGGCATACACATTAAACTTCCATGTATTGCATTTTTAGCATGATTTGCACAGAAGCATATACTGTATCAACTGTAATCAGTTACTATATTCTGTAATCCAGACAAAGGTAAATTTTTCCAAATACAGTGATTGCTCTGTTATTGGATCCATCCTAAAGGTGGAGCCACAATAAAAAAATAAACAATATTTTTTATGAAGTTTGGGACTGAACAACAAATGAATATGATTAAACAGCTGAGAAAATAAAAATAAAAATTAAACCCATAATCACAAAATCTGCAATTCTTGACTGACATGCAATTACTGTACATATTGATAGTTACAGGAGCAGAGCTTTGCTTATGGTGTTATCTTCATTAATATTTTCATATAATTTTTTAAATTTTCTTTCATGGTCAATTCATTTTCTTACACCATTTTCCCAGTATCTCTTTGGCTCCATTTTTTCTTAATTTACATACATATATGGCTTTTTGTTATCCATGTAGAAGGTGTATGCTAAAAATTACTTTTCTTTTTCTTCATAACCTTATACGTTAATGTATCTCGCGGGTTATTTGTGTATCTCGTCTTTTCCTCCCATCAACTAGTGTCAGCATCTTGTGTGTTTTCGGTCTTTCATTATAACTCATATGTATATATATATACATTGTATACACCTACCATCCGACTTACGACCTGCTCGACTTACGACCACTCGACTTATGACCGTGTTTTTTTGGCCAAATTTCTGGGAAATAAACAACTATTTGTGTTGTACACAGTGTTTATTCTAAACCTTACAGTATAAAATACAGTACTAACAGCATAAAAAGTAAAGTAAAACATGAAATACGAAAATAAAACAATAAAATAGTCATTACAAAAATGTGATGTTGATATTCAGTAGTAAAGTTCGACTTGCGTCCATTTCGACTTATGATCGGTTTCTCGGAACCGAACTCGGGCGTAAGTTGGATGGTAGGTGTATATATATATATATATATATTATATATATATATATATATATATATAATATATATATATATATATATATATATATATTTTTTTTTTTTTTTTGGGGGGGGGGCGGGGGGTCTGAGATCCATCTTGTAGCTCCTCTTAGGATTTTTTCTAACTGGTCCACATTTTCGTTTATAAGGTTTCTCCTTATATACCTACTTTACTGTATGTTGTATACAACTTCTTCAGCATTTTCCCATCCATACATTTAAAAGTTATGCTGTAGTTAGTATAATGAACGTTTTATTTTTAGCCAATAGTATAAATTTTCCATTTTGTCTAAAGTGCTTAGAGAGTCACTTGATTGAAAACTCCGTTGAGCTCTTTTTTTCTCCACAAAGGCAGTTAACCCATTAACTGTCCAAACATAGATCTACGTTCACTCGCATAGCGCTCCGAACGTAGATCTACGTTTTTTTGCATGCTTTCAAATGGAGAAAATCAAGGTCGGAGCACTACGTGCAACAACGTAGATCTGCTTTTGGACAGTTGAAGGGTTAATAGAGCAATCACTATATTACTAAAATTATTTTAAAGATGGACATGAGTAAAGTGGTGCAAGGTAAAAAAAGATTGTGTTGTATAAAATAATTTAAATTTTACTAGAATTGAATAAAGTAGGATTAATTTAGCAACCTTAGTTACAAAAAATTTTTTTACACTTTTAAATTAAAAGCCAGTGTTCCCCATGTGGCACAAAGTTTAATCATTCTTCAAAGCATAATTATACCAAGTAAATTAGTTAAAGTAGATTTTAATAATATTTTAGAATATGAGTACCATACATACTGTTCTATAGTACTGCATTAATTTGTTTATTAACCCTTTGAGGGTCGACAGGCCCTCTCCGAAACTCGTTCTCAGGGTCGGCCAAATTTAAAAAAAAAAAAATTATTTTCTCTTATGAAAAGATAGAGAATCTTTTCCCGATCATAAAGACACCAAAAGTTTGAAATTTGATAGAAAACTTACGGAATTATGCTCTCGCAAAGTTAGCGGTCTCGGCGATGTTTACGCATCGGCGATTTTGCCCACTTTGAGCCCCATTTTCGGCCAATTTCACTGTACTAGTCGACAAAAAACATGAATATTTCGCTAGAACTCCATTTTTTCTATCGAATGGGTGCAAGAAACCACCCATTATGAAATTCAACTATCCAGTACAGTGGTCAGAATTTAGCAATTTTGCCAATTTCACACAAATTTCAAAAGATGCCAATTTCCGAATAGGTCCAGAATAAACAAGAAAGACATTCCTGGCACTAAAATGACATTTCCTCTAGTCATTAGTCACGTCTCAAGGCCCCTCTTATATTCTTTTGCTTTCCACTTTGAATTTTTATTTTCACAAAAAAATATAAGATTTACTGTTATGCAGACTACTGCATTAGTGTAAAAAATGGTATAAATATTATTGGTGCACTTGTGAAAGAATATTAGACTCACCAGTTGACGTGTATTGCACGCTTGGCATGATTTGTTTACTTTTGAAGTTTGGTAAAAATCGAACATTTCTGCTACTTTGAGCTCAATTTCAAGGCACCTTTCATTGTAAAACCAGTCAAAATCATCTCAATTTCTGTAATATGTCTTCCATTCTATAAAATGAGACCAAGAAAACTAGAATACAACAATAAATACCATACGAAAATACACTGCAAAGTCGCTGATTTATTAAAAAAAATGGTCAAAGTTTTTTTTTTCTCATTATGCACTGTGTGCTGCAGGATTTTTTTTAGACTGTGCACACTGACCACAGACCCATTCTTTCATATGAAGGCCTACCAGCTTTCTTCCACTAGATTTGAGGCCGCTAGAATTTATGAGTACTAGTACGTCAAAAACCCCTACGCGTAAGACGTACTAGTACGACCAAAACCCTCAAAGGGTTAATAGAATATGATGATAATTATCTTTCTAATACAAGGATGAGCTTATTAACATTTCCTTCATCATCTTCACATTGCTACATTAGCTCTCAAATGTCATCAATAGATCTATATGCAGTTGTTCAAAAAATCTTAGATTGTACTGGACCTTATATTCTTGTTTTATGGTAACAGGTAAAGCAGCAGTTGAGACAACTGGGTGAACCTATCTGCTTGTTTGGTGAAGGCCCTGCTGATAGAAGGAACCGCTTGAAAGAAATTTTGTCTCGACTTGGTGAAGATGCTCTAAAAAAGACAGGTGCTGGGCAACAAGAAGCGGATACACCCGAACATGATCAACAGAGACCAGAGGAGACATGGTATCACGAGGGGCCGCAATCACTAAAGGAGGCACGGATGTTTATCGTCAATTACTCAATTCCTCATGCTAGGGCAAGATTGAAAAAGGAGCATTTGGATTATCAGGTTCCAGAAGCCACTCGCACTGCTAGAAGGCAGGAAGTTCAAAATAAACTTAGATCATTTGGTCTTCTTGGTAGTCAGAATGCTGACACAAGACCAGTATGTTACTGTAGCTTCAGTCCAAATGGAAAACTTTTAGCTACTAGTTCATGGAGTGGTCTTGTTAAACTATGGAAAGTACATAATTGCTTGGAAGAGCGTACATTTCGTGGCCACAATTGTTATGTAGACTGTGTTGAATGGCACCCTAGTGCCACTTTATCCATGGAACCAACAGCTTTGAATTTAGTGTCCAGTGGACGTGATGGAAGTGTACAGCTATGGAGCTTAAATGGAGAGGAACCTCTAGGAGAACTTCCAACTCTTGAGGCAAGGGTATCTAGAGTACGTTTTCATCCCAGTGGAAGGTTTCTTGGGGCATGTGTGCATGATAACAGCTGGAGATTGTGGGACTTAGAGATTCAAGAAGAGGTTCTTTTTCAAGAAGGCCATTCAAAGCCAGTTTATTGCTTAGCTTTTCAGAATGATGGATCTTTATGTGCAACAGGTGGTATGGATGCTTCTGGCCGTATATGGGATCTTAGGACAGGGAGATGTGTCATGTTCCTCAGTGGACACCAGAACCCAGTGTTAGCCATTGATTGGTCCCCTGATGGCTATCACCTAGTAACAGGCAGTGAGGACAACACTGCAAGAGTTTGGGATGTGAGGCAACGTAGATGTATATACATTATCCCTGCTCACACTGGCATTGTTACTGGTGCTCGTTATGATCGACTAGGGGGACAGTATATTGTTACATGTTCATATGATGGCTCAGTTCGTCTCTGGTGCCATGGATCTTTTCAGGCTATGCGTGCCCTTGAAGGACATGGACAAAAAGTTATGGGTGTAGATGTTTCACCCACCGATGGTATTATTGCAACCTGCTCTTTTGATCGCACATTCAAAATTTGGGGACCAGATTAGGATGTAATTGTAACTGATTGAATTTAAAATTAATAAAAATTTGTTTGACATACTGTAGTACTTTCATTATCATTTATATATAGTTGTATTTTGAGCCATAATTAGTCTAAATGATTTTGCAGTACTGTGCTATACAGAATTCCTTCAGTATCTGAGAGGGATGTGCTCCTTGAGAAGCTGGCGCATAGTGAATCTGTTTATACAAAGCTTATTCGTGCACTATCAGTCTAAACACTTCAGGGTTTGCAGCACTACAAAACATAAGAACCTTGGGAAGATATACACAAACAATTCTACAAAATACTGTACATCAAAAGTAAAACAGCAAACGCAAACATGGGTATTCACCCATGTCTATAGTAATAGTCCTTTTACAAATTATGTGTAGTACATGTATATGTATTCACAATAGACATAGATAAGCCATACCATGGGTGGGGATAGAACCCGCAATCAGAGTCTCAAAACTCCAGACCGTCGCGTTAACCACTGGACCATCTAGCCACAATACGATTCGTCCAACTAGGTATTTTTTATTTTTTTTTTTAACAAGTCGGCCGTCTCCCACTGAGGCAGGGTGACCCAAAAAAGAAAGAAAATCCCCAAAAAGAAAATACTTTCATCATCATTCAACACTTTCACCACACTCACACATTATCACTGTTTTTGCAGAGGTGCTCAGAATACAACAGTTTAGAAGCATACACATATAAAGATACACAACATATCCCTCCAAACTGCCAATATCCCAAACCCCTCCTTTAAAGTGCAAGCATTGTACTTCCCATTTCCAGGACTCAAGTCCGACTGTATGAAAATAACCGGTTTCCCTGAATTTTTTTTTTTTTTTTTCAACAAGTCGGCCGTCTCCCACCGAGGCAGGGTGACCCAAAAAAAGAAAGAAAATCCCCAAAAAGAAAATACTTTCATCATTTAACACTTTCACCACACTCGCACATTATCACTGTTTTTGCAGAGGTGCTCAGAATACAACAGTTCAGAAGCATACACGTATAAAGATACACAACATATCCCTCCAAACTGCCAATATCCCAAACCCCTCCTTTAAAATGCAGGCATTGTACTTCCCATTTCCAGGACTCAAGTCCGACTATATGAAAATAACCGGTTTCCCTGAATCCCTTCACTAAATATTACCCTGCTCACACTCCAACAGATCGTCAGGTCCCAAGTACCATTCGTCTCCATTCACTCCTATCTAACACGCTCACGCACGCTTGCTGGAAGTCCAAGCCCATTGCCCACAAAACCTCCTTTACCCCCTCTCTCCAACCCTTTCGAGGACGACCCCTACCCCGCCTTCCTTCCCCAATAGATTTATATGCTTTCCATGTCATTCTACTTTGATCCATTTTCTCTAAATGACCAAACCACCTCAACAACCCCTCTTCTGCCCTCTGACTAATACTTTTATTAACTCCACACCTTTTCTTAATTTCCTCACCGAATTTTCTGCATAATATTTACACCACACATTGCCCTTAAACAGGACATCTCCACTGCCTCCAACCGTCTCCTCGCTGCTGCATTTACCACCCAAGCTTCACACCCATATAAGAGTGTTGGTACTACTATACTTTCATACATTCCCTTCTTTGCCTCCGTAGATAACGTTTTTTGACTCCACATATACCTCAACGCACCACTCACCTTTTTTCCCTCATCAATTCTATGATTAACCTCATCCTTCATAAATCCATCCGCCGACATGTCAACTCCCAAGTATCTGAAAACATTCACTTCTTCCATACTCCTCCTCCCCAATTTGATATCCAATTTTTCTTTATCTAAATCATTTGATACCCTCATCACCTTACTCTCTTCTATGTTCACTTTCAACTTTCTACCTTTACACACATTCCCAAACTCATCCACTAACCTTTGCAATTTTTCTTTAGAATCTCCCATAAGCACAGTATCATCAGCAAAAAATAACTGTGTCAATTCCCATTTTGAATTTGATTCCCCAAAATTTAATCCCACCCCTCTCCCGAACACCCTAGCATTTACTTCCTTTACAACCCCATCTATAAATATATTAAACAACCATGGTGACATTACACATCCCTGTCTAAGACCTACTTTTACCGGGAAGTAGTCTCCCTCTCTTCTACACACCCTAACCTGAGCCTCAGTATCCTCATAAAAACTCTTTACAGCATTTAATAACTTACCACCTGTTCCATATACTTGCAACATCTGCCACATTGCTCCTCTATCCACTCTATCACATGCCTTTTCTAAATCCATAAATGCAATAAAAACTTCCCTACCTTTATCTAAATACTGTTCACATATATGCTTCAATGTAAACACTTGATCTACACATCCCCTACCCACTCTGAAACCTCCTTGCTCATCTGCAATCCTACATTCTGTCTTACCTCTAATTCTTTCAATTATTACTAGGTATATTTCTACATAAATCATTGATGCATCACTGGTCAAAGAGCATCAAGCAACTGGAGCAAATGTAGAACTTTGAGGCAGCAATACAGGTACATATACACATTTTTTTTCAATATACTGGCTCTCTCACACTGAGACAGAGTGACTCAAAAAAGAAAAACACTTTCACCATCATTCACACATAATCAATGTCATTGCAGAGGCATGCAGAATGACAGTTCAGATGTCACTCCAAATAGCAAATATCCCAAACCCCTCCTTTAAAGTGCAGGCATTGTACTTTCCACCTCCAGGACTCAAGTCTGGCTAACCAGTTCCCTGAATCCCTTCACAAAATATTATTCTGCTCACACTCCAACAGCTCATTGTCCCCAAAACCATACGTCTCCATTCACTCATATCTAACATGCTCACATATGTCTGCTATATGTCCAAGTCCCTTGCTCACAAAACCTCTTTTACCCCCTCCCTCCATCCTTTCCTAGGAGGACCCCTACTCCTTCTCTCTGCTACAGATTTATACACCCTCCAAGTCATCCTATTTTGCTCCATCCTCTCTAAATGACCAAACCACCTCAACAACCCCTCCTTGGCCCTCTGAATAATACTTTTAGTAACTCCACATCTCCTAATTTCCACACTACAAATTCTCTGCACAATATTTACAACACGTATTGCCCTTAGACACAATATCGTCACTGCGTCCAGCCTTCCTCTCGCTACAGCATTTACATCTCGTGCTTCACACCCGCACAAGATACCCACAGATACCTAAATTCACCACCCACCTTGTTTCCTTCATCAATTCTATGATTTGCCTTGACCTTCATAAACCCATCTGCTGACAAGTCTACTCCCAGATATCTGAACACATTCACTTCTTCTATATTCCCTCCCTACACTCTGATATCCAATTTTTCCTTATCTAAATCATTTGATACCTTCACCACCTTACTCTTATCTATGTTCACTTTCAACTTTCTTCCTTTATACACCCTCCCAAACTCTTCCACTAACCACAGTGGCCTGTGACCTGGTGGCAAAGCTCTCGCTTCTCACACTGAGGGTCCATGTTCAGTTCCTGGCAAGAGTGGAAACATTGGGCGTGTTTCCTTACACCAGTTGTCCATGTTCACCCACCAGTAAAAATGGATACCTGGATGTTAGTCAACCGGTGTGGGTCGCATCCTAGGACAAAATTGACCTAATTTGTCTGAAATGCTCTGCATAACAAGAGGCTTTCTATATAGTAGTATGTCACTGATGTCAGCTAGGCCTGTATACCTTGTATATGTATTTGTAGAATCTCCCAAAAGCACATTATCATCAGCAAAAATGTAACTATGTCAACTCCCATTTTGTATTTGATTCCTCATAATTTAACCCTACCCTTCTCCCCAACACCCTAGCATTTATTTCTTTTACAAACCCATCTATAAATATGTTAAACAACCATAGTGACATTACACATCACTGTCTAAGGCCTAGTTTTACTGGAAAGTAATCTCCCTCTCTCCTACACCCTCTAACCTGAGCCTCACTATTCTCATAAAAACTCCTTACAGCATTTAGTAACTTACTACCTATTCCATACAATTGCAACATCTGCCACACTGCTCTATCCACCCTATCACATGCCTTTTCTAAATCCATAACTGCAACAAAAACTTCCCCACCTTTATCTAAATATTGTTCACCTATATGCTTCAATGTCAACACTTGGTGTACACATGCCCTACCCATTCTCAAGCCTCCTTGTCCATCTGCGATCCTGCTCTCTGTCTTACCTCTAATTCTTTCTGGTATAAAATTTATGATAAATAAAACAATTGTGTATTAAAATTTATATTTAATATTTATTATTACTTATGAATGTACTTCTATACAATATACCTTTCACTGGATAAAGATACACTAGGTTTCATTTTCAACAGGAGAACAGAGACTATTGCACTTATCCCTAGTGGCAAAAATTGTGTTATGCAGATATAGACCCACCAGGGCAGCTGGGGGGACATGCCCAGAGGCTGCAACCACAAACCATGGTTCATCCCATCACGTATATGATGACTAATGATGCAAACCACTGAAAGCGTGCCTAATTTCAGACACCACATGGAATGACTGACAACAGCCGAGATGTACATTACAAGAGTGAAAATAAGTGGTGGCAGCGAGAAGTGAAGAAAACCCCTCTTCCATGGCACACGTTGTCCACCCTGCCAGGGAGCAAAGATAGAATTAATGATAACTCTTATTCTGTAATTATAATGCTATCTGAAAATTTTTGATTACTGTACAGTATTATTATATTACCTCTTGATGCCTGGGAAGAGCTCTTGAATGAAGAAACTAGATTTGTCCTCCTCTAACTTGGATTGAACCTGATACAATGAAACCTCCACTTAAGAGTTTAATCCACTCCGTGATCTTGCTCGCATCTGTACAGTGGACCCCCGCCTTACGATATTAATCCGTTCCTGAGAGCTCATCGTATGCCGAAATTCTTGTAAGGTGAATTAATTTTCCCCATAAGAAATAATGGAAATCAAATTAATCCGTGCAAGACACCCCAAAGTATGAAAAAAAAAAAATTTTACCACATGAAATACACCTACCATCC